CCCAAACACACGCACACACAAACACACGCACACATATGTCTGCTGTTTTAATTAGATATCGACCACCAAAGGGGGAGGCACGCTCTGGTTGCGTTTGGTGGTGATGTTTTTGGTTGTTTTGTCTGACTGGGATTTTCTAGATTTTCTAGTTGGATAGATTTTCTAGATAGATAGATGGATAGATAGATAGATAGATAGATAGATAGATAGATAGATAGATGGATATATTTTATAGATAGACAAATTGGGAAATTGTGTACAGGCATTAAAATCTTCAAATCTTTAATAGTGGAAGAAAGTAAAAACATNAGATAGATAGATAGATAGATAGATAGATAGATAGATAGATAGATAGATAGATAGATAGATAGATAGATAGATAGATAGATGGATATATTTTATAGATAGACAAATTGGGAAATTGTGTACAGGCATTAAAATCTTCAAATCTTTAATGGTGGAAGAAAGTAAAAACATAATAAAGTAACATAAATGAACCAAATTGAGAGATCAATGACAAAAGTGTTTGTTAAAGAATCCATATCAGTTTCCACACACACATGTTTTTCTTTGTATATATAAGTATTTTTGCCCTCGAACAACTCACAGAAAAGAGTGTGTGTATGTGTGTGTTTGTGTGTACATTAGTATATGATCACCGATCATCCATACTTACTGCTTAATCTATATGCATTTTTAAATGTTAGACGTTAACAATTGGTAAAATACAAAACTCAACTTAACATTTGCTGCACAGTGATACTTCCAGATTGTGTGAAGAAGCACAAAAAGCTAAAGTGAACAGAGGGGGGCTCAGCTGGCACACACAGAGGTCAAAACAGAGTTCAGAGGTCAGGTAATGACTCCGAGAGGGGTCGATGGCCCTCTGGGGCCAACACAAACTCTGATACTTTAATGGAAACAATGGACTTTGCTTGTAAACACAAATAACTTATTTATGGACAACGAACAAATATGTAGACACAAAAAACAGAGATCTGCCTGTACGAAGAGCAAAAGACAGATTCAGCAACAAGTGTATCATCAGAGGATTAGGCAATTAGGCACAAAACAGACGTGTAGACAAGAAAGTAAACAAAAAACACAAAGGGAAGTCAAAGTCAGTCAACGAATCTCCGACTAAACTCATTGTACGACTGTAGAGTCAGTCAACTCAACACGCAACCAAACTGTTGACTGTTATCATTATGAATACTGATCTGTATTATTATCACCCATCATGTTACCGGTTCTTTCTCTGCAGTTAGGATGAACAGCATAAACAAAGATAAATTAGATGCCACTTCTCGACCCTAAAAACTGCACGCCTCCTGGAGCCTGCTGAGGGACAATGAGAGACTGTGTCCTTGTCTTTGTGTGTGTTTGTGTGCACACGCAACCACAACTAAAATAATGTTATCAAGCAAAGTTAATTACAGGGATGGAGGTCATCCTGCCTAGTCACACTTCCTAAACACAGGAACTACAGAGGTGGAGGTGTCTTGAACCAGGTGTTTGGGGGTGTGGGTGCTGAGGAAGGAAGAAATGTAGAGTACTTTAAAAAGGGTGTAACCTAGGGAGTGGTATCCTTTGTGCATATTACAACTCAAATGTATTTATGGGGGTCATAATTCAAATGTTTGTTTCATTACCGCCACCATGGAAGTTATGTTTTTGGTTCGGTTTGTGAGTTTGTCAGCAGAATTAGAGAAAAACTGGCCCAATTTGCATTAAACTCTTATTTATGGAGCTGATCTCAATTTTGGGATGGACACACGCTTTATACTTTATACTACTAACAGGTCTTGTTTTAGACAAATATTTTGGGATTAACTTTGAGAATCGATTTAATGTAGAATGGAAAGGATCCAAGCTCTTGCATGCCACATTTTGTCGTGGTAAAGAGAGGAACGTTTGTGGGTGTGTGTTTGAGGGTGTATTCACTGACCTAGATTACCCTGCCGTGTTAATCGAGCTCAGATGCTGGTATTATCACCTCGCTGGGCTGCCATTAGGGTTCATAAACCTGACCGGGACACATATTAGACAAAGAAGAAACTCCTATTTGGGGGCTAAGTGTAACCTGCTTTTGAAAAGTCCTTTTCTTTCACGTGTCACATATTTCATTCAAAACCAGCAAAATGATCACAGTGTTAAAAGGTTCTCTACTGTGTGTGGATAATTAAGCTCTTTTGATTGACCAACAGTACCACATCGGGAACCTGTTACGATTATTGTGTTATGTCACGTTTTGTATGTCTTGTTTTGGGTGTTTTGTTGTTCTCCCTGTCATGTTTTCCTCTTGGTATATTGTCTGGTCCTTTTCCCTGTGTTTTTCCTCCTGTCGTTAGTTTCCCTTGTCTGATTGTGTTCACCTGTGGCCCTTGTGTTTCTCCTCCCCTGCCCGGCTGTTTCTCGTCTTGTGATTACCCCTCCCTGTATTTAGTCTTGTCTCTTCCTGTGTTCAGTGTTGGTTCGTCTTTGTCCCTGACTAGTTCTGCGGTGAGTGTTCTGTTTTGCTATTGTACATAGATATCATAGCCTTGAAATAAAGGAAGTTTCAGTTGATATCTGCATTTGGGTCCTGCTTCTTTCACAAACCGTAACACAAACATTTCAAATTTAAATACAAAAGGAAAAAAAGTGTACTTTTGAAAAGATTTCTCACAAAAACCTTTCTAAATTATAGTGAATTATTAAAAAGGGTTTAGTTTATATAGCTTTTTCTGACTAAAATAGTTGAAATTGAACGTAAATTATATCAAACACCACATCCATGGCAATTAACCAATTTTTGCCCGCTATTTAAATTGACTTTGTTTGAAGTTAATAACAATATTGATATTATATCGATATACAGCATATCATTGATGCTGTCTTTCTGAACACTGTTAAAATAAAATACTGCAAATGAAGAATATTTGTAATGTTCTGCACATATAGTGCCTTAACTTGAATTTGAAAACATGTGGCAACTTTATTAATACAGCAGATGAAAAGATTTGTGTTCAAGTTAAGGCACTATATGTGCAGAACATTACAAATATTCTTCATTTGNAGGCTTCTAGGGACCGCATGACAGTCTTGGCCGGGGCCTTGAGAGGGGTTTCATTACCGGAGGCTTCTGGGGACCGCATGACAGTCTTCACCAGGGTATTGTAGATTTCTCCTAAATTCAATTGTTCAATTGTTGTTCATCCACTGCACACATCATCTGAAATAACAACTCATATTTCTTGCATCAAATGACATCAAAACGCATTTTAATGGCGAAACTAACTTTAAAATAGGCATTTTCCACCGAGAATAAAACGAAGTTCGGCCATGTTTTTTTTTTCTGCAGGGAGAAATTTGAAGATCATGTGACATAGACGCCAGCCATTGGAATGAATGGTGAAAAAAAACGGGGTTTGTCGGGTTTGTCAAACAGAGCACAAGGTGTAGTCCTAAACGATAGCTGGGGATTCTGGGTAGTGTAGTGTCTTCTGCCATCCTTTACTCCGAAAATAAATGTGTTTCTCCGAATCGAAGGGGAAAAATACAAAAGCATTGCACACAATTTAAACCAATCAATGTTGTGTAATTAACAAGGATAATTTGTTGTTTTTTAGTCAATGAGTAGTGCGGATATCACTGTAAAATCAATCGACAGTAAGGGGAATACTTACTTCCGGGTGTACAATTCTCCGTTATCCAATGGGAATGGACGCTCACATTGCCTTTAAGGGCAGCCGACACAAACGAATGCCGTGCTTCCATGAGCGT